GTTTAGCATTAATTCATTTCAGAAAATGCTACAGCTGATTGCAGCACAAAGCTTTAACTACAGGCTTTTTGCACACAGGTACCCTGTAGACTTTCAGAATCTTCTTCACCTCTCCATCCAGTTTCAGAGAGAGCATGGAGTGAGGGAACAGCAACAGCCAATATCTCATAGATTCCTATCATTGTGAAGATCTGTGATGAGTAAGCTGAACACGAATATTGGAAAATTCCTTTATATTTTATCTAAAATAGCTCTTAAAGATAGAACACAAGAAAATTAAAGAACTCTCCTGGGGCAGCAGAAGGAAACTCATCAGGCTGTGGAGTAGTCTTCAGCTTTTCTCATCTCCCTGCCACTCCTTGTGATACCTACAAGGCCCTATCAAGTTAACAGATTAAGTGATACAACTTCCAGAGCCAGGAAGCATACAGGCAAGGAATACACTCTATTAAGCCACAGCTGTGTAAACAGGTGAACAAGACCGTTCCAATTTCTAGGAAATACAGAAGGTGAATCAAGGGTAAGAAGGGATCATCTCCAAGAAGCAAGAGGGAAGAGGAAATGTGCAGAACAGAAATGGAATGCTCAGCTAGCTAACAGTATGAATAAAGAGGAAAGAGTCTGTCAGCGTCAGAATTAAGTACAGTTCTATTCCTTTACAGTCTGCAAGGCACAACTTTGGGGCACTGTAACATGAAACACTTTCCACTCAGGCACACATGTTCATTAGCTGACCTCTCAATGCATTTTTTTTCCATGCTAGGAATGAGGAAAGCTGCTCATCAAACAGCAGTCAGAAAGCTGGACAGGGCTAGGATGAGCAACGGCCACACATATAATGCTCAGCAGGCTTCTGGAAGGGAGTGATTTTCCTCTCTCCAGCAAGGAAAGCAGGATGGGCAGCTTTCAGTTTCAAGAACCAATTAGACAGAAACTGCTATCAAAGCAATAGAGAGGGCCCTACCCTAGATGGGTTGAGAAACACCAGGTGGTATTATCTCAATCGCTTTTGCCAGTTTCAACAGTCCCACGCATTCCTTGTCGCTGAAGGTGCCCAGAGTGCCCTTTTCCAAGGCTCTTCCCACACACCTACCTGGACACCACACATAATTAAACTAAACTATCACCTAGACACCACTGCTACCTAAAAAAGTCACTTTTACGTAGTGGCTTGTGGAATAGCTACTAAAAGAGCAACAAACTCACAGACTTTATTCCTTCATGAACCACTTTTAAAGAGCCATCACACTCTTTGTGAACAACACACAGTAATATAGGCTTACCAAGCTATTGTGCTTTCAGGAGATTTTACAATACAGAAAAAAAAACAGTGAATCTAAGAAGAAAAGAAAAACTTCAAACCCCAAGTTTGGCACTACTGTAACATTCTCCCACAGAGTCCAAAAGGAATTATTACAAGATTGTCCTTTAGATTTTGCAATCAAGAGTATGTGGTCAACATCAGAATTAGCTAAAGCAAATAAAATTGTCTTCCTCACCCTCCAAGTTGATAAATCCTGCATGACACTCACACATGGAGCAAAAAACTCTTCATGGCAAGTGTTAGCCAAGATATTATTTACTGCAGACCATCAAGACAATTGGCTACAGTTACAATAAGTACTGCTGTCTGCAAGGACTTGGTGTTACTTGAAACACTATTTCCTGAAAGCTAAGAGTAGGGGAAAAAAAAATAAATAAAAATCATTCTACAGTCATTAGATGCAAATTCTCAAACTGCAAACTTTGAGGCTTCTATTTTTATACTGACATTTTTGGTCATGCGTTGCACGACTACCCTTCATATTTCAGGATTATTTTTGCCCCATTTGAGAAACAAAGTGCATCTATAAGCAGTGCAAGAGCAACTAGGTGAAGAACAAAAGAAAACTTCAAGCTGCTATCTCTTTTCCTACTATAATGAGCAGGCTGATAGTATCAGCAAGTGGAAAACTGGAACCTTAGCTCCCTCCTTTTGAGGAACAGGCTTAACACAAGGAGTACATGCACTCTTTTTTTTCAGGGAAAGCCTACAAACCCAGTAACACAGACCTGCACAAAGAATACCCTATTTGAGAACTATTTCAATGTAGAAATCCATATGGTTGAGTGATTTCACAACCACCAAAATATAAAACTAGAAATAAAAATAGTCAGATTTCAGAAGACAGACGTACGTCTTGAAAGAGATACTTGAAGACCACTGTGGCAGAGATGTTAAAACCTTTGAACTGACAAAGCAAAGAGAGCAGCATGCATTAGAAGTCATCTTTCCCAACAGCCAAAGGAGAAGCAGCTGTTGGTAATCTCCCATCCTTCCATTCAAGGCTTCATTCAGTTACCAACTTCTGAGAACAAAGTATCGTAATTTCAATCTAATAAACTGCACAGCAAAGAGATGAAAAATCCTTGCTCACTCCTTCCTCCCCGTATACCTTGGGAAGAAGAGCAATCACAGTACGGTTCTAGTTCTGCTCCTCCCAGGAAACACAAGGAACAATGAACCCTCCTCCAGTATTTTATTAATCCTTTTCTCATCCGTTAGATCCATCCTTCCTAGATGACTGTTGCAGCGCTCAGCCAGGAGAAGCAATAGCTGCAAGACGTATCAGGGCAAGAGTGACTTCATCATTTGATTTCACCCCTCCCTACAAATGAGAGCACAAAGGCAAGTCAGGGTTTGCTTCCAAAAGACCGACACCAAGACAGAGGCACTAAAGATGTCCCAGACACTCAAAAGACACCAATCCATCAATTTTCACCTTCCTCACAAGGATTCTTTTGTCCCAGCTTTAACTCAAACTGGCTCAGAACATAACTAAGTATCAGGCTATAAATATACATCAAAATGAAAGAGCCGACCTAACTGTTCACCACATAAGCACTCCACACTGGCAATACACAGATTGCTACATCATGTCATAAGATGTTACCAAGACTCTGCTAACCAGAAAACCTTTTTGGACACCCTGGAATTTTTCTCACTTAAAAAGCAAAGGGAAAAAAAAATAAAGAACAAACAAACGGAAAATACACATACACAAAAAACAAAACAAAACCCCCAAAAAAGTTTACTTCCCAGGTTGTCTTACATGGCTGGATTAACTGAAAATAGAAACTGCACTTCCCACAGAATCCTTGATTGTGGTTCTCTCGCTTTGTTCTGACATTTTTTTCCAGACAGCAGAAGGACCAGGAGCACATGACTGGAGCGACTGGGGGGGGGGGAGGTATCACAAATGCATGCGCTTTATGTTACGGCCTTTGTTTCTCCCTCAGTGTTATACATTTGGGATTGAATCATATTTGCAAACTTGTTAGTCTGCATCAGTTAGCACCCTCTTCACAAGCAAGCATCTGTCTAGTCTTTGACCTCAAATAAACGGGAAAGCACCACCAATGACCTTTCAAGAATCAAGCTGTAGAACCTGAATAAGACAAATTTAGTTGCTGAGTATGACAGGCTGAGGTATCTTCTTGGTTTAGACAGACACCTGCAGAAATATTTATCAACAAGACCTGCTTTCCATTCCACAGGCACATAAAGTAAGCCAGTAAATTAAAATGGAGTCACCCACAGCTCTCCTCTGTACATATCAATAATCCTTAATATTAATGCTGGACCTGATCAAATCTACACTGTCGTGCTGCTAATATGGGTTAACTGCACCCATGGATTTTGGAGTGCTGCTGGCACAATGATCATGCAGATGCAAGGTGGACAGTCCCTGAGCCAAATGCTCTCTTCAAGGCTTCAGCCACAGCAGAAAACATTTCAGTGCAAAACAACTATTAAAATTTCTCATCTGTCGAAAAGCTCACAATCTCCCAGCGCTTTGGCATGAAACACACAAGCCTCTGCGATGGATGCAGGCAGGCACCCACAGAGCCATGTCAGGTGTGGCTTTACACAAATATCAAACAGATAAATCGAATGGGAATGCACACTGAGCACTCCTGGTCCCATAAAGATGTCATCCTGCATTTCCGTAAGAAAAAAGAAAATATCTCTAGAAACGACATTGTTCATACGAATCTGGAAGAACAATTCACTTATTAACGTGAACATATTCAAATCAGGAGTAAAGAAATTCCATATGATACACACATAATTGAGCTACAGCAGCTCAGAACTGGGCCTTTTTGTATCAGCAATGTACATTTGTTCAGGTTTAATTCATATTTTTAATTCACATAAACCAGTTAACCCCAACGGATAGAATACGAAGAATGGGCACACACTAAGCACGGTTTCTAACGTGTCTGTGCAGAATACAGCACAGGCCTCATTCTTAAAAATATTCCTCTGATCAGAAAATTGGAAAATAAATGCTAAGCTTGACATGTGAGCCCATAGAGTAGTTATCTCAAAATAAGCATTTTCTTATGCCTTCTTCTGAGCATTTTACCACAGCCTGGAGGATATTAGAGACACCTTTTGTAAGCTCCCCTCCCCCTTCCCTTTTTTTTTTTTTTTTTTTTTTAAATGAACTGGACTAAAAGGTGCTCAAGCCCTATCTACGGGTGCATGGAAAAACCTTCCATGCTCTCTCTCCTTCACAGCCAGGAGCGCTTAAAAAAACCCTCAAAAAACCACGTAATGAACGTGAATGTCACGGTCATACCTGTGTCCCCGCAATTCGTTTCCTCCTTTCGGTGGGAGGAGGGGAAAAATGAAAAGGAAATACAGGCTACGGAGCTCCGAATTCGTTTTACAAAGAGGGGAAAATGGCTTTTTAATGAGCCAGAGGCCGCTGGCAGCGACCAGGAGCTAAGGACGAAGACAAACCCACCGGGATTTTCCGTCCAGCAGGCCCCGAATGGAGCGGCGGCGTGCGCCTATTCAAGGTTAATGGGGGGGAGGGGGGGGGCGGGGAAGGGGAGAGAAAGGAGCTGCCGAGGCCGGGGCTGGGTTTCCTTCGCTGCTCCCCGCTTGGGCGAAGGGAGGGGGGAGCCTCCCCGGCCCTCATCTCCCCACCCCAGGGGGGCAGGATACTCACGGCTGACTTTCATGCTGCCGAAGGCCGAGGGCTGCTGCACTGGCTTGCAGCTCTCCGCGAAGGAGGTGGTCCTGGGCCGCCCGGACATGGTCTCCCCCGCTCTGCCCCAACGGCGATCACCTCTCTCCTCTTCCAGCCTTCGCCCTCCGCCTCGCCCCGGCGGGCCCGCCTGCCGCTCCCTCGCTCGCTCAGCTGCAGGAGACGGGTGGGACGCGCCACATGAAACGCCGGGACTCCCCCTTCCCCTCCCCGGGGAAGCCCCCTCCCCTCTAGGTCTCTGTCGCCCGGCGGCTGCTTATTCTTCTCCCGCCTCCTCCTGCTCCTCCTCACACCACCATCCTTCCTGGCCGCACCGCTGGGTCCAAGAGCCGTCTCCCCCCGGCGCCGCTCCCGAGCGAGGGGGGTTCGCTGGGCCTCGCTGCCCCCACCCCGGGCGCCAGTCACATGGGGCGGAGGCTCGCGGCCTGGCTCCTTCGATCCCGCCGCCGCCGCGTTTCTCTCCTTTTATTTGCTTTATCTCTTTTTTTTTCCTTTTCTTCTTTTTCTTCCTTCTCTTCCTTCCCCGCTCCCCGTTCCTGTCTTTCCCCTTCGCCTCTGAGGGAGGCGGCAGGCAACGGGACTATTTTTTTCCACGGCGGAGGGATCTCGGGGCACCGCCGAGCGGAGGCGACGCGCAGACAAATCGCAGACGAATCGCAATAGGATCCGGTGGCGGCGGCGGGATCCGCGGAGCGCGGAGGGAGGTGAGGCGGCCGGGCGGCCTTGCTGCTCGCTGACGCTGCTGCTCAGTGCGGCGGTGAAGCGGCAATGGCTCCGGCGGTGCGGCCGCTCATTGCGCCCGCACGGGCAGCTGGCGGCGGCTCAGGTAGAGCACGCTGCACTGCGGGCGGAGGCCGGCAGCGACGGCACGGGCCATAACGGCGGTGGCTTGCCTGCTCCTCCTCAGCCCAGCTTCAGAGCGCTGGCAGTGGTTGCTGCTTTTGCTGCTGCTTCCCCAGGCGCCCAAGGCACGTAGGACTCGTCCGCCCGGCTCAAGTCTCCCGCCGGGCCCCCCTCCCCGTTCCTGCCGATCAGTCTCTTTGTCCCCGCTGTTCCCTCCGCTGCGTGCCGGGCTCCCGCCGCTGCGCTCTGTGCGTGCGCCAAAGCCGCGCAGCCGCCCGTACCCGCCGCCGCCCCACACTGCGGAGCAGCCGTAAGCGCCGTCTGTGAATACCAGGCCGAAAAACCCGGCGCGCCCGCGAGTCCCCGGCCCGAGGCCGTTACGGAAACGCCCGAGCCTTCTCGAGCCCAATCCTGAGGCCGTTACAAGAATGTCTGTAACTGGCCGGAACCAATCACAGAACCACCACAGGCGCGACCGATTCTTCCCGAAGTGAAACGGAGACCCAATCGGAGCACGCCGCCGCCGCCCTAGCAGCGCGGGCGGGCGGCCAATGGGAAGGAGGGCTCTCTTCCGGCCATCGCTGGGCCAACCCGAGTAGAGCCGAGGAGGGAGAGCTAATCAGGGGGCGCTGCCTCCGTCACCGAGGCCTGGGACGCCTTCAAGCCGCAGCCCGAGACGGAGAGCGGCCGCGGGCTGCGATTGGCTGGAAGCGATGAGGCTGTCTGCAGGGGACCAGTAGCGAGGCGCAGGGCCACGGGCGCGCTCGCTCCCGACGGGGCACGGCCGCTCACCTCTATGGAGGGGGTGGGGGGGGAAGGGAAGGGCAGCGTGCATAGGGAAAGGCAACGCGCATGCGCGAGCCCCCGCGGCCCGTCACACCGGGACCGTGCTTGGGGCAGCGCGAAAGGAAACCCGAAATTGCGGGGTTTGTGCCTAAAACCCGTCAGCCATAGGAGTGTTGCGGTTCTGCTTCATTGAGCCGTGAAAGAAATGGCACTGACGCGCACAGTGCTGTCATAGAATCATAGAATGGTTTGCGTTGGAACGGATCTTACATACTTTTCAGTTCTCAACCCCTGTCACAGGCAGGAACACCTTCCACTAAACCAGGTTGCTCAAGCCCATCCAACGTGGCCTCAAATATATCCAGGGATGGGCCATCCACAACTCCTCCGGGTAACCTGTTCCAGTGTCTCACCATCTTCGTGGTAAACTATCTAATCTAACCCTACCCTCTCATTTTGAAGCCATTCCCCTTTGCCTAGTCACGACAAACTCTGGTAAACAGTTCCTCTCCAGATTTCTGGGAGGAGACAGGAGGCAGGAACAGTCGCGGGTGTGGTTCACGAAGCGATTATGAACCCATTCTGCACAAACTGGGCCAAACAGGGGAAAGATGATCAAGGCTCTCGTGGAAAGTCCTCTCAATGAAGCTGTTGACAGAAAGGCTTCCACACAGGAAACACAGTTTGTATTGAGGCACTAAACACTCTCATTGTTACGTCCCGGTGCCACCATAGGTAGATTGAGCTTGGCCAGAGTTCCAGGCACTGTTAAGGAAGAACTTGTCCCTCTTCAGGCCTCTGGAGCATCCCTGGGGGCAGCGGCTCCCAGCCCTGGCACAGCCATCGCTGGAGTGCTGCTGCCTGCTGTGACCTAAGTGAAATTACTCAGCAGACATCAGCAAAAACTGAGCACCACTTGCTTATGCCATTAAAAAAAAAAAAAAATATAGTGCTCTTGCCAGAATAGTTTGTACCACAAACAAAATAACTTGTACTAGCAGAAACATATTTTGCCAGAGACTAACAGCTAGCTGTTGTTTTCAAGGTATTAAAATATTGCTAGATTTTCTTTTTTTGCATCCCTGTTCTGAACACCATTGCTTTGTGACCAAACAAAGACCTGGCCAAAGGCAGCTAAAATTTATCCTTTACAAGAGCTGTTTTCCAAAGCAAAAAACAAACCTAGTCTCTCAAAATGGTCCTGTTCAGCATTTTGCTTGCCCCGGAGTGCTTGGCTTGCTGGAAGCCTTTTTTTCCTGCCTCATAAATGATTTTACCTACTACAAAGGCCACGAGACTGTTTAAGCTTTGATCCTTCAGGATCTACGTGTGCAGCTCTGTACAGCTGGGAACCTGGCAGGGGAGGTCATGTACCCTAGCACAGGAATGGTACTGCAGCCACCCCAAGCCACCCTACCATATTCATTGTTCCAACCCCACTCTGAGACACCACTGTGTCAAATGTTGCGCAGACACAGCTTCAATGAGCTGCCAACAGTGAAAATTACATTTTCTCTCCTGTTTGGCAGAGCTGTTTTAAAAAATCAGGGTTATAGCTTGGGTTAGTTCTCTGAAGAGCATTCTTACATAAAACAACAAAACAGATATGCCACCAGGCAGTGGCCAGCTCTCTTCTACCTGAAACGTATCACCAGGCATTCCAGTCATTTTTTCTAGCTGTGGGCATCAAAATGCTAACACAAATCACATTTTCTTTTTTTTTGACAAAGTTCTTTCAAAATACTACATAAACAGGAGAACTGTCTTAGGAGAGACAGCCAAGCTTTGTTTCTTAAAAAAGTTGGCGGTCTGAAAAACAGCAGGTGTGGGAGGGTGAGCTCTTTGCTTTTCAGCATTTGCTGCTACTCATGATAGTAGTAAATAAAAATCAGACTGATGCATCATTTATTCTGATGGTGCCCATTAGAGAAATGTCCCTTAAAGCTTTGCAATGAGTCTACAACCTGACAATAAAAATGGGAAATCAGCATCGTTTACTTACAGAGAACAAGCTACTTCATGAAAATAACTTTGTGCTTGTCCTGCTTTATCTGGTATAGCCATTCTCTAAAATCACCCTGTTTCCTCTTCAATATCAAAGTAATCTATATCAAAACCACAACGTGGTTGCTACTAATAACACTTTTCTGAATACCAAGCCTATCCATCCATGGGGGAATGCATATTACAAAAATTCCAGCTGCAGTACTTCATATTTGGCAATCCTGCACATATTTCCATGTCATAATTAAGCAACCAAGTCTTCCAAACCTGTCCATTCAAGTTGTAGCATCTTCTCATCCACCAGGAAACCACAAGTCTGTCTGAAAAGAAATCTGTGATGTATTTGATGTATTTGAGGGTATGGAAAAGCATAAAGCACCTCCAATTTCTGTTAGGCTTTTCATAGACTCTTTCCTTAGCTAAGACTACTCTCAGAAAAAGCCTAAACACACAATAAGGGCATCTATTAAGCTTCATCTTCAATTTCAAAAATGGACTGATAATTAAAACCATTTGTGAGAGTCATGAGTGAGCAAGTTGTTTTTTTAGACTGAAAGATTCTCTTTTGACAACATTGCAAAGTCCATATTTATTTTTGGTCCCTTGGCTGATGAAATGACCTCCCTTTAGAATCTGCAAATATAAATAGAATTGACGTTTTAATGGTCAGTTTTCACAAGCTATCATAATCCAGCATCTCAAGCATCAATATTGTTCCGAATCTGGGGGCATGGAGCAATTTTACATCTGCCGTGTCTCTATAACGTGCAAATGCCCAAGGAGGTTGCCTGAATACGTGAAGTGCCCAAATTACTGAGGTGTTATCTCTCTGAAATGCCATAAGGTGGCAGTGAATTGGAAAACTGGTACAACTGGGTAGAGCAAAGCTCTAAGGAGCTCAGGAGAAGAGTAGGGGAGGGGTTTTGTTTGCTTGTTTGGGGTTTTCATTTGTCTGTTTGCATTTCATATATCAACAATAAACTTCAATTATTCTAATCAAATACTGAATAGGCCTGCTCCAACAGGAACCAGTGGACATGTTCCTGCACAGGAACTCCTGCTTTTTTCTTTCTCCATTGCTTCCTTTTCAAGTGATCAGCAGGAAGATTTTTTGTTTGCTTACCTTGCCACTCTTACTGGGTCATTCCACCAGAAGGCACGGTGAGAGGCCTACCTCTTGCTAGTCTGATAAGGATGCAGTCATTCAAGGCTGTTTTGAACCTTGCTATGCTAGAAAATCTAAATTATATTAATGTATCTACCCGTCTTGTATCTAACTCCTTAATATTGCCAAGGCAATTATCCAGAGAACAATTTAGTGAGACATTGTAATGGTTTATCTCTTGTTTGATTGGCATGGGCAAACTCAATAGTTATGGTTGAACTTTAACTTTGCTTTTTCTTTTTCCCCAGTGGAAAATCAGAGATTCTAACAGTAACAAATTTACCGATTGGCCAGGCATTAATGATTAAACAATAAATCCCAAAAAGTGGTTTTGATTTTTGTCCCAGAACAAAACCTGAAGGAATCCATGTTTAGAACCTATCAGTTGCATTCATGT